GGGATTTTTGTGTGAAACATATTGAAATACATTTTCGCACACTGGTTGTGAAACCTGTGTGGCGCACACCATGCAGAGAGAGAGAGAGGGGAGTTGAGATGAGAGGTGGCACACACTTCGCAGTTCGCATGTAGGAGGATTTGTACTGAAAAGCACCATCAATCTATCATGAAGCTATTAGCCAGAAGCTATCTGAAACTTGGGCTTGTGTTTAGACTTTCTCTCCAGTCCGATTGGTGAGTGCTGCTTCAGGTAATTCAAAGGACCACTCAGTTTTTAAAGAAGGAACTTTCGATAGGACATTTTGAACTGCAAGGTTACAATGCATACAATCAGTCCAAGCTGCGTTCAGAGACAGAAGAATTGGAGCTGGCGAACAGAGAGATAGGGGTTCAGTTCGAGGAGAGAGAAGCGGAGTACATGAGCTTGCAAATGGAGCTGAACAAACAATGTACTGAGAGTATGGCGTTGCGGAAACGTCTTAAGACAATGGAGACGTCCAAGTCAGACAAGACTAAGACCATGCAATTGGAAGAATCGCTGCAAATTCTCCAGTCGGAGTACAAAGCATGCGAAGACCGCAATAGACAATCTAAAACAAACTGGACCAAGATGCTTGGCAAGTTGAGACAGGAACTTGCAGAATCGGAGAGTCAAAAGACAGAGGCTGTTGGAGAAAAGAGATTGGCAGAAGAAACGGCCAAATCATTCCATGTGCAACTGCAGCAGAAGGAGAGCGAGTTGAGACGAAGTCAGGATGAGAAAGAGAAAGCTGCGAAGGCCGCCAATGATGCTGAAGAAGAAGCCAGGAGGCTGCATTCAGAAAAGCAAGGCTTACTACAGGCAATGATCGGATTTCAGCCTGATGAAGCAGAACAAGAGGACAAACTGAATGCAGAGCAACCAGCTAAAAGAGAGGCAGGCAAGCTGCATCAGGAGGAATGCATGATGCTTTCAAAGCTGCTTGTAAAAAGCGAACAGGCCCTGGAGGCCGCCAAGAAAGATTCGGCTTCTGAGTTGGGAAAGGCACTCGAACGTCACGAAGCCCAACGAGAGGCTTTGGCATTGTCGGAACAACAGCTCAGCAAGTCCAGACAAGGGGTTGCGCAAATGAGAAGTCAAATGCAGAAGAAGCTTGAAGCCATGGAGGTTGCCAACGCAGGCTCGGCTATGAAGTTTGGAGAACATGGTCAATCATACTTCAGAATCAGCATTGATGCTTTGTGGGTTGTAGTTCTTTCACCATTGGTCTGGCTAATCTTCCTTCGATCCATCTCGCTCCATTTTTTCTTTGGACATGTGATTGAGAGGCTCCACTGTAAGGCGAAAATATAGGGGGGTCAGGTATTCCGTCAGGTATTCCTGTCCTGGCTCTTTACATTGAGCTCACACACCCAAAAAAAGGTTTGTTTGACGGTATTTAAGGAGACCAGACCAATGGCCTCACAGGTCCTGGAAGAGTGCTGAGAGAGAGAGAGAGAGAGAGTCTGAGCTGAGCTTCGTCTTGAGATAGGAGGGCAAAAGCCCTTTCCCAGCTCACATCAATTATATATCAGACATCGATGGAGATGACTTCTTGTGGCATTGCCAGGCTTGCTCATGTCTACTTATGTGCCCGTCTTCCATCTGTGTATTTGCTTATACAGGCGTGGAGCAGCTACGGGCTATGCAATGTATCTAGTGGCTGGTCTGTCGCCTAGACTTATTGTCTCATCACTCCTACAAAAAATGGCTTGTCTGTCTGTCGGCCACCGTGAATTCCCACTGCTTGCTTGGCCAGACAAAACCCCAGGCCCCTGGAACAAATCAGTGCTCACTGATCGATCAGATTGATTGAGCTGAAGCATTGATAAGTCCGCCCGTTCAAATTCAGAGAATAAAGGGCACCATTCACCATGCACTTTAAACGGCACTTGCTCCTCCGAGCAGCAACTCAGCAAATGCTCCTAGATAACCCACTCAAGAAGAGTGCCACTGATGGAAATCAACTTGCAGAAGGTCATAAGGCTTCCACACGCGTGTTCTACAAGCATGCAAAACAATCAAGCTTATCAAGAACCTGCTGCGAACAAGCAGCCATGGGTTTCCGTGATCGACGCACATGCAACCAAAGACTGGGAAGCCAATCTTGCGCGCCGTCGTGCTCCATGCGGAACAAGTTGCAGGCACATGAAATACATGCCGTAGGACATGCTCAAACAAATTCAATATCTCAGATTCTTTGACACTCTTACAGGACAATTTCGTGGAATGCGCTCCCGCGACGCGCTTCTAACACACTGCTTGACATTCTTGCGGCGGATCGGGGTCGGAATCCCACGACTCGGCATATGTCTTGCCCAGGTGTGATGGAAAAAGAGCTGGTTGTTCATCATCTTGTTCATCCCCATCTGCTTTGCATGGAGTTTGCGCGTCTTTTGCCAGGTCGCCATGTTGTGCGCAGAAAGCCGACATGTGAGAACATTTCAACAGAAAAACTCACCCCCAAAAAAACAAAATACTATGGGGCGCTCACATACGTACACACGCGTGGCGCCCCAGCACGCAGAAAGCAGCGCTTGAAACGGAGACTTGGTTGGCTTGAGCCCGCACACCTGAATCTCTCTCTCCGGTGCATGCGAATCTAATAAACTCTTGGGCCTATCGATTAGAAGCCGAACTGGCATGCGACAATTCTAGTGAGTGTAAATTTTGAGAAAGCTTGTTGGCACCTGTTGGGTTTGGCATGGTGGTATGTTTTTCTGCGACCGCATGGCAAATCTGATCAGCTTTGTATATACCTCATCCAAGAAAGTAAGCCAACTGCAAGCATTACTGCGAAATCTGAACTTGGAGTACCAAGGTTTGAAAGGAGAGCTCGCGACCTTGAAAGAGGTGCTTGACAAGTCCAGAAAGGAGCTGGCAGAAGCGGAGAGTCGGAAAACAGAGTTAACCAGAATAGCGCAGAAGGCTGCCAGAGAAAGGCGATCAGCAGAGGAAGCGGCTAAGCTACTCCAGGCGCAACTGCACCAGAAGGAGAGCGAGTTGAGCCGAAGTCAGGATGAGATAGAAGCCGCGAAGGCTGCCAATGATGCTGAAGAAGAAGCCAGGAAGCTGAATTCAGAAAAGCAAGGCTTGCTCGAGGCAAGCATGGCACTGCAGATGAATCAAACAGAGCTTGAGGACAAGGCTGAGTTGATGCAGAAAGAGCTGAATGCAGCGGAAGCGGAATGTGAGATTTTGCGGCAAGTGCAAGAAGCAAGGGTTCAAGAGGATCACCAAAAAGTGGTGCAGAGAGCAGGATTCATTGAAGACCTGAGTCCAGCTTTGGAGCAAAAGGGGGCGTCGGAGAAACGGCTTTTAGCCCACAAGGTATTGGAACAAGAGGTGGCAGCTTTGAAAGAGGGGCTAGATGAGTCTAAACAAAGAAATCACGAGATGGAGAGCCAGGAAACGGAGTGGAAGCAAGCAGTGCAGGAGGCTGTTGAGGAAAAGAGATCAGCAGAGGATTCGGCCAAACTACTCCAGGCGCAACTGCAACGGAAGGAGAACGAATTGAGACGAAGCCAGGATGAGATAGAAGAAGTTGCAAAGGCTGCCAATGATGCTGAAGGAGAAGCCAGGAAG